AGTACATATCTACTGTACACATCCAGGGATGTTCACACACAAAGTACCCCTACACCTCAATCAGACCCTCCAAAAAGGCACTGAGGTGCATCTCTGAAATTCAAACCCTGTACAGGCTCTTCACTGCTACAAGGCAGAGCAGCTCATCCTGAAAGATATCATTTCTAAGGGGACGGGGGAATGCAGGGACAATGAAAAGTGGGCTGGTGGTGGGAGATATCTAAAGGGGACTTAGATAAAAAGAAATGGAGGAACGGGCATCTGCCGGTACTTTAACATATTAGGACATGGACAATACAATCTTAAAATGCAGAAGCAATTTCTAGTAAGAAACTCTTGTAAAAAAGTCATTTTTAAAACAACTGTAAAAATATCATGTAAAGCACAGAGATTATTAATATATGGTGCCTTTCCCATGTTTATGATATTTCCTTTGGCAGCTCCAGTTTCATTCTACTTGGCAAAAACATGGCAAGTCTGGGCAGACAGGAGACCCAGACTTGATTAGTGTTAACGTGAGTGTCTGTATTTATCCTGTGAAGAACAGTAAAGTGAACACAATGCATGCATGGATTAGTTCCCCATATTCCTAAACAAAAAGCTATGGATAATGTATGAATGGATGAAAAATGGTGTCATAATGGTTACATCCTCAGTAGTGTCTTATATTAAAATCATTAGTGCTTTAAGGAAACACTGTATATCACTTGCCATCTTGGATGTATGTTTGTGTGTACTCAGAGTCATTAAAAGAGTGCAACGCAGTCATTCAGTGGTCTCTTGTCATTAATGAAGAACAGGACTGACAGCCACAAGAACCGACAAATGCACACAGACACTATAAACACAAAATGAAACACATATGCACATATCCAAAAACACCCACTGACTGTTTGTTCTTGGTTCTTTACTCCTTGCTGTGCTATGCTACAAACACTTTTTTCCTCTACTTCCTTCTGGTTGTATTAAGTGTGATGACTCCATGAACACACATCAAGACATGCACACACAGACAAATGTAATTTTACAAAAAACAGCAATCCATGTGTGAAGTGCTCTGGAGAACTTTAAGATCACATGGTAGAAAAATAACAGGAAAAGAAGGATCTGTTACAACCACGAAGTACTGGTTTATTTAAAATACATAAGGCATGAGTGGTTGTTGCATAGTTTTGTTGCTCTACTCTGTGGATAAAACCTCACATGATGATATTATAGTCAAATATGGTCAATGTGACTGAGCCATGAATAGGTGCAAGACAAATGAGGAAGTTGTGTGACAAGTCCTTCAGTCACCACCTTTACTTCCTGGGCCAAGATGATGCTTTCAGAGCTGCTCTGCATTCTCTCAACCACAAGCTCAATCACTTCAAAAGCCTAACCCCTGAACTGTTTGTTTACAAGCTGCACAGCATTGATTGTATGGAAAACAGTCTGTAGGCTGGAGTACAGCGCATACAACACACAAGGAGTTTCTGGTTATCAGTCACAGGGATCCTTTGTATGTTTCCTCTGCTCAAGGATGTCATCTAGTGGCACTGACTTTCATGGTGCTAGAAAAGGATGCACTGGAGTTGCTGTGTCATTGATTGTAAACTCATTAGAAGATCTTTGGTCACAAAATATTAAACTGTTCTGACTGCCCATCTTCTACTTTCTTCTGAACATGGTTTGAATTTCACACAGATGTGTGAAATGAGACCCCTTGGGTGATTTGTATCACTATAATGGCTCTTGCTCTGCTGTGCTTCTCCTCCCAGACATTGAGATAACAGCTCTCACCTTACCTCAATCAACAACCAAAGGAGCTGCAGAGGGTTTCCCAGGATGGATGAGGGAAACAGGATGACCTGTGGGTGGTGGAAGTAAGGCAAGAAGGGGCAGAGAACATGCAGGTGTCCAAAGTCCCCTGGCTATAGACGGTGCATGACACGTGTCACATATGCTTGGACACGTGTGTGTGTGATGGGTGGAAACACTGGAATAGAAGCTATATTTATGAAGTTTTCTTCTTCACACATTTAAAACACATGCACTCACTCAGTTGTTTTTACAGTCCCCTATGAGACACATGCTTAGTCATCTCTGAAGATCATTTCATGTGTTAACTAGTGTTACAGGTCAAACAGTGTCTAATCACTAACTATTCATCATGGACTAAAAGATGTGTGGAGCACCTGTCCATCAGATCTAGCCAGCACTGATAAGGACTTCATGACTGCAGGGATTCTCCCAAAAGGTTTGAGTGGGAAGTGTGTGTGCTGTGTATGTGTTGCCTTTGGTCATACATAGAGTTATTCAAGAAGATTGATACTACTTCATGTCTACACAAACCATGACTTTTTCTCCATTTTTGTCCTCCTAACAGGTCTGAAGGAGCTGTCTGACATGTCTCATTTCTTCTTTCATAGAAAGTGGTTATTGGAGAGTTATAATTTGCAGATAAAAATTTTGGTTGGATATTAGTGCTATGCTAGGGTCATCTTTACTAATGCTACTGCTTTTATGATCAGCGAGTCATCTGTGTAATGAGAGATCACTGTCCCATCTCAGGGTTAGTCAATTCAGAGTCAAGGGTTAAGTTCAGAGTTTGTTAAACCTGGCTCTTGGTCTGTAAAAGATGTCAGTAGTGAAGTGTGCACATGTAGGTTATACTAATATGAAAGGAAATGACTGAGATCTTCATCCATCCATTATCCATGCCGTTTATTCCTGAATAGGGTGGGAGGCGCTGGAGCCAATCCCAACTGACACTGGGCAAGAGGCGGGGTACGCCCTGGACAGGTCGGCAGTCTGTCACAGGGCTCCATCACACAGAGTATTAAAGAAACATGCAAAAAAAAAAAAAAAGTAAATAATGGAGAATGAAGACCTCATTTTGTAATTATGAACATAACCAGTGGTTGGAATATGGCGACTATTATTAACAGGCTACGTCTCAAATAATTTTATTGTCACTGAATTACAATAAAAAATGGCTCTGCTGTCGTTACTATCCAACATAAACCAAAACCAGATCTCACAAGTACACACACACAGAATTTCCTCAACGTCTGGACAGCATTACATTGTGTAGAAAGACGCCCCCCCCTAATTATAGTCTGCATCACTGAAGACTGAGGGCTCTTGAGACACACACACACATACACAGAACTCCTCAAACACAATAATAGATAGCAGTTGCATTAGAACTACCATATTCAGCAAAGAGGGATCTTCTGTTGTAGCGAACACTGTATTTATTTATATGAGACAAACAGAAATTCAACAGGGACCAGAAGTGATAAGAAAGGTGAAGGACCTACCTGCTTTCTGGAATCATCTGATTTTGCTTGATGATGACAGATAACACAAGGGCACTGTGGGAACTGTAAATAACATGCACCGCAAACGATGGTGAACCGGGTATCATGTGATGGAGCCTGGAACTCTGCCTGCAAAATAGGGTGAACGGGGAAGTGCGGTGAGAAGGCAGAGAGCCAAGTAATAAACAGAATGAAGGGGTAATGTACATAAAGGCCTGCTGCATCACTCTCAGGAAATAAATAATGAGCCAGGCTGCATGTAAACTGTGGTTGGAAAACAACAAAAGCTGCTGACTAAATGGAGTGGGGACACCCTGTCTTTTGGGCTCTTGCTTGTATAGGGAGGCCTCTATCATCTAAACATGCTCCCTTTGTCTGGATCTAACAGGACCATGCTTCTAGTTTTAAATTCTGTTCATAGACGCTGCAACTGAGTAGCATCTTTCTTAAAAAATAAACTGAGTCAGAATAAATGTTAGTCAATGTCAGTGTGGTATGACCAAACCTGTAGTTAGTGTATAAGAGACACATTAAAGGCACTGACACTTTGTGGTATCAGAAAAACTAAAGGAACACTAAATCATACATTAGATCTTGATGAACAAATTATTCGAGGGCATCAGTGAGCTCCTAGACAGTCTGTGGTGGTGTTTGGTGGCATCAGATGCACCGATACATAATGTCCCATAGGTGCTCAGATGGATTTAGGTCAGGGGAATGTTAGGGCCAGTCAATGGCATCAGTGTCTTCATCATCCAGGAACTACCTACACACACTAGCCACATGATGCCGGGCATCGTCCTGCACCACGAGGAACCCAGGGCCCACTGCATAGTTATTTAATAATCACATTTATCTGTCCCTCCATTACCTATACAGCTCATTCTTGAACAGGGCCGCGGGAGGCCTGGAGCCAGTCCCAGCTGACACTGGGCGAGGTCCATCCTAGACAGGTCACCAGTCTATCACAGGGCTGACACTTAGAGATAGACAACCACCCACACTTACTCATTCCTAAGAACAATTTAGAGTCACTGATCAATCTAAGCTGCATGTCTTTGGACTGTGGGAGGAAGCCGGAGTACCTGGAGAGAACCCACGAGACAACATGCAAACTCCACATAGAAAGGCGCAAAGTCAGCCAGGGCTTGAACCCGGAACCTTTAATCACATTTACGGCATAAAATATTGGTTTAAGTTGGATGTCTAAGTTTTTAAACATCTTCTTTATTTATTTTTCTAATTCTCAAGTACTCATATTGGTCTCAGTCCCAGCGCTGGTTGGACTGGAGAACGTGCATACAGTACATTACCTATACATTAGGATGAATGAATGTTTGCTAATTGAAAAAATATTCAGGGTAACTTCCAATAGCTGCAAGTTGATTTTGCATGACAACAATCAACAAAGTGTATTTTGGACACTTCACATTTTTAATAGGATGTACTGTGTAGCTGCATCATGGGAAGGGTATGATCCAGAGTTTCAGGATGTTAACCCACACAAGTCAGAACATCTTGGCCTCTGCTGCTTCACTGTGACCTTTCCTGTTGTTGATCTGTCTCTTGCTGGTCTTCCAACAGAACCTTATGGAGGTGTACAACTAAGTCACTAAGTCACAAGACCATGTGCCAACATAAAAGTTCTTTTATTAAAAAATTAACAAAGTTGCACTTAACATTTACTTAAATGGCTGATTAAAAACTAGCATAACAGTACTTGAGAAAGGAGACTTCAGGATATTTTATCCATTTATTTGCAAAGGAATAAGTACAGGCATAAAAATAAACAATTAAAATAGTAAGAAAGATTTAAAAATTGTGACAAATAACTTACTGGTTTGTTTTTAAACTAACAGCAGTCTGACAGTTTTGGGTCCATTAATGTTTTTGTTTTCTCCACTATAAGAAAACTGAAGAGATTTACTCTAATCTTCTTCGCATAAATTCATTCACTCTACATTCACATCGGATTTATTGTTGTCCTTGCCACACTTCTTGTTAAGTCCGCTGAAATACTTCTCTCTGAAGGCATTGTGTCCCTGGTAGGGGCTGAAGCATGGGTCTGCTAGATGAGCCGAACTGTCCAGTTCCTGTAAGGAGAGAAATGTTAAGACTTAACTTACTGTACTTAACCTAACTGCTCCCTATTTTTGGTGGAGTCACTGCTTAGGATCTCTATGAGCCGCATGTGTGATTTGGCACAGGTTTTGTGATGATACGCTTCCTGACAAACCCTCCCATTTTATTCAGGTTTGGGACCGGAACAATGAGGACACTTGTCTGTGCAGCCCCAGTTTAACAGAAACTGTCTATTGGCTACTTCAAACCTGTATAAGCTAAATTTCCTTCCTTCACTTTTGGGTGTCATTGCAAAGTTGCAATAGGCGAAACATCCAAGTCCTACAGTGCAAGTGGCAATTCAATTCAAGTAACGCAGCTGCTACTGGGGGTTGGGGTTAGATGGGCAGGAGCAGGTTCTACTGAAAAAAAAAACAAACAAAAAAAACATTTGCAGCTCATTAAAAAAAAAAAAAACAAAGAAGAAATGAATGTGAACTAGTTCAAAATTCAAAATTGTTAACTATGAATGTGAACTAGTTCATTTTAATGTGTGTGCACTCTTGGAGTTAGCTCCTGTGAAGTGTAAACTTGCACAACACTGCTGGCATCACATTTGAATACATTTTCCAAATTTGCATGCAGGAACAGATCTGTGCTCATATGTATTAAGAACATATAGAACTGTTATGAGCCCTTCTAGTCAAGAGTTTGTCTCAACTGTACGTTACAGAGGAATGAAGGATGATTAAAGGTGCTGGGAAAAGGAATAAGAGTTCAGTTAGGAGTGATGGCTTCAATCCCGGGCCTGTAATTTGTCAGTAACACCTCTTTTTTGCTTGCTGATGCTGCCAAGCATCCTGGAAACGGTTTCCATGACCACTCTGAGATGGTAATGGAAACTCTGGGTAACAAGCCTGACAATCTAATCCTGACCCCAAATTAATAAGGATAGAGGGACTACAAACAACTGAAAACAGTGGATTAACGACTTAGTGTTTGCCAGCAACAACACAGGCTATATGCATTTACTGTTAAATTAGGCAAACTGGCTATTTATAGTCACCAAACGCATTATATCATACAGCATATGTGAAAAAAATCTGGGCTTTAAGAGGGGCTTTTCTGCACTAGTTTAACATGAAATGTTTGCAGCAATTAAGCCCATTTATCAACAAAAACACAAAACAGATTGGACACATGCACATGACGGGCATACAAACACATGTAAGCATTCACACACACCAGTCTATGAAGCCTTGTGAATGAGTGCAGATAGGTGTAGATTGAGGCCTATTTGGAAAGGAAAAACTCTGTGACCTGAGATAGACACCACTCAGATAAGATCAAACAACTGTGTGTTTGTGTGAGCGTGTCATACGGGGCCCTTCATGGGAGCAATTTGGTGTTTTGAAGTGGAATGGATGACAGATCCAAAGATGGATTGTTTTCCATATGATGTGTGATTAAGCCATTTAGTGTTCCAGTATAAAAGAAATGAGCCAATCACAGCCAGATGGCGGAGATTTACCCCAAACAGACAGAGAAACACCATCACTTCTGTTGGAATGACATGTAAAAAACATGCACATATGCACAAATACTTACAGGGTTGCAGATACAAGCAATTCTATGAAATGCATATACAAACATGAGAGAACAGGCTCTCACATAAACTAAGTCATATCTATGTTCATACAAAACGTACAGAACATTAAACAAATTGGGCAGCGCACGCAGGTTGGTACCATGCACGTTCTCATTTATAACTATACAACTACAATATATCACTTAAAGCAATACATTTAAGATGATGTACATCCAATCAAAGGATGCAGAGAATCAGATTATATGGTCAACTTTCCAGCCATACACACATCAGAGTAAAACGGTTTTAAGTCCTGTAAAACAACTATTTTTTTTCTGTGCACATTCACTAAACTGTGAGAGCACTACGTGTGAGTGAGGTTGTACTATTGTATGTACAAAACAATCACAACAGGAAAAATAGTTCTGAAAAAAGTCATGCAGAAATGCTGCAAATGTATGATGCAAACAACAAAAATTAAGCAAGCATGCAAATGCACACATGCTAGAATCCTTGCAAGTGAATGCAAACTGCAAGTTATTTTCATTAACAATCAATCTGCAGATTAGTTTCTCACTTATTCAGCGCAATTTTGCACATAAGAGGAACTGGAACTGGGAAATTTTAACTAAAAAAAAGGCACAAATGGTTGATCACTAGTTGTCAGTTCCATCAAATTACTTGTTGATTTATTATTTCAGCTTCAATTCAAACACACAAAGTCATATACGCACCTCCGGCTCCTTGATCTTCTCCATGGTGATGAGGCGTCGTGAAGTGTGGCTGGAAAGTGTCTGCTCACAGTTACTGATGAGCCGGAGACATGGATGAAGAGGAACCATCTCTTCACAGTACCTGGAAAGGAAGCACACACACGCAGTTACTAAAAGGAAAGAGCAGAAATGGCAGCAGTAGACTACTTTATATCACCTGATATAAAGAACCAACAGTCCTGTATTTTGTCTGAAGGCCATAAAAAGGCTGCTGGGACACAGACACGGACTAATCCTGTCAAAATAAGTACCTAACACTTGCCAACTCTCCTGCCCACTTTCCATTCTCCACCCATGCTTCCTTCTGTTTCTCTCACCAATCAGCTCACTGAACATTCAACCAGTAAAGTATAACAGTAACAGGCAAATCTAAGGTAGCTCCTTTTGTGCAGTGATAAAGCTGGAAAAAGTGACTCTGACCTGACAGGTCGACTGCTGGCTCTATCACAGGGCTTATTAACAGCAGCTGATGTGTGTGTTTGCATATCTGTGTCAGCAGCACTTTCCAACATCATAGTTGCAACAATACCGACTCAACTCCAGATTTGCACGTTACTGTTTGTCTGCTCTGTTGCCATAGCCACATGTGGGCCTCTGTGGTGATGGGATGTTTGGTCGTCATGGTGACTAGAGGTGATGCAGCCAGGCGATAATCCTGTCCTGCCAATCAGGAGTCATTAGTGGTGAGCCCGACCTGATGAGATGGCGTTAACATTGTTTTTCACCTCCAAAGCGTCTTTTTCCATTACAGGCTATGACTTTGTAAAGGGCACTTTCACTCAAAACACTGTAGCTCACAACCTCTTTTGAATCACAGCATCTTATACGTTTGCTCTCTTTTTTATACTAAGGATGAGCCATGAGGATGCACGTACATTTATCATTTAGAACGGTCAAATATAACAATGATGATTATGAAGTGGTTATTCTATTTAAACTGTATTTTCACAAAAATACTATTTAAAATGCATGAAAAATGTTCTTGTCCTAAAACATCTTAAAATCTAACAGAATTTTATTTACTCTGTTTCACATGTGAACTCTGATATCAGAGCAATGAGCAGTGGCCTCTGGTCAAGGTGCCAGTGGCACCAAAGGACAGATTAGCAGAAATATCCCAAAACATATTCTGAAGTATAAAGCTATGACCTGAAATTAAAAATCTGGCTCATTCATACTCTATCAATGTCGTCCTACTCCTGACAGCAGTCACTTTATGTCTTTGCTTCATGCGTTTATGTTGTAATCAGGTCACTTTATGGCTTTGATGACTGATACTCCATCATCTGTCTTGATACTTTTTCTTGCTTCATTTATTTTTACAGGGAGAAATGAAATAGTTTAAAATGGTCTGATTTGGCCTAGACACCATCTATTGCTGAGAGGACTTTGTGTCACATGTCATCACACACACACAGCTTCCCCATTCTTATGAGGCAGACATACACACAATCCCCAGTGTTTCTATCATAGCCATGGGCACAGATATGCACATATGTGGGGGTGACAGAAACCTGATACCTCCCCTGTAGAGCCCAAGATTAGGCTCCTGCCCACTTTCCATTCTCCACCCATGCTTCCTTCTGTTTCTTTCACCAATCAGCTCACTGAACATTCAACCAGTAAAGTATAACAGTAACAGGCAAATCTAAGGTAGCTCCTTTTGTGCAGTGATAAAGCTGGAAAAAGTGACTCTGACCTGACAGGTCGACTGCTGGCTCTATCACAGGGCTTATTAACAGCAGCTGATGTGTGTGTTTGCATATCTGTGTCAGCAGCACTTTCCAACATCATAGTTGCAACAATACCGACTCAACTCCAGATTTGCACGTTACTGTTTGTCTGCTCTGTTGCCATAGCCACATGTGGGCCTCTGTGGTGATGGGATGTTTGGTCGTCATGGTGACTAGAGGTGATGCAGCCAGGCGATAATCCTGTCCTGCCAATCAGGAGTCATTAGTGGTGAGCCCGACCTGATGAGATGGCGTTAACATTGTTTTTCACCTCCAAAGCGTCTTTTTCCATTACAGGCTATGACTTTGTAAAGGGCACTTTCACTCAAAACACTGTAGCTCACAACCTCTTTTGAATCACAGCATCTTATACGTTTGCTCTCTTTTTTATACTAAGGATGAGCCATGAGGATGCACGTACATTTATCATTTAGAACGGTCAAATATAACAATGATGATTATGAAGTGGTTATTCTATTTAAACTGTATTTTCACAAAAATACTATTTAAAATGCATGAAAAATGTTCTTGTCCTAAAACATCTTAAAATCTAACAGAATTTTATTTACTCTGTTTCACATGTGAACTCTGATATCAGAGCAATGAGCAGTGGCCTCTGGTCAAGGTGCCAGTGGCACCAAAGGACAGATTAGCAGAAATATCCCAAAACATATTCTGAAGTATAAAGCTATGACCTGAAATTAAAAATCTGGCTCATTCATACTCTATCAATGTCGTCCTACTCCTGACAGCAGTCACTTTATGTCTTTGCTTCATGCGTTTATGTTGTAATCAGGTCACTTTATGGCTTTGATGACTGATACTCCATCATCTGTCTTGATACTTTTTCTTGCTTCATTTATTTTTACAGGGAGAAATGAAATAGTTTAAAATGGTCTGATTTGGCCTAGACACCATCTATTGCTGAGAGGACTTTGTGTCACATGTCATCACACACACACAGCTTCCCCATTCTTATGAGGCAGACATACACACAATCCCCAGTGTTTCTATCATAGCCATGGGCACAGATATGCACATATGTGGGGGTGACAGAAACCTGATACCTCACATGTAGAGCCCAAGATTAGGCCCAGGAGACAGTCTACGTCTGGACTTGCACTAGTGTAATCGTGCACACACACACACAGGTCAACCAGCAGGGCACTGAGACAGACAGCTCACATATTTGACTTGACTGGCCTCAGCCATTTATTTTGGTGTGGTGCTCTGACAGGCACAGAGTCAAGCACTGGTAGATGAGTAGCAAAGACAAATGTGCGAACATGATGACACACATGAATGCATGTGCTCATATGCAAGACCACACACACTTGTGTGAATGTATACACATAAACAGATGAATGCGAAGGGACAAAAAGGTCTGAAATGTGTTTGTATATGTGCACTTTCTCACACACACTAAAACAGAGAATGCACGACTATCTCATCTTCTCCCCACTCATATAATCAGTGAACAGATGGAGCTCCAGCCCTGAAGGGGTTTTGTTTCCCTAAAACATTCGTTGCTGCTACTATTTGTTGTGGTTCATCCCTTTACAATCAAACACCTTCACTTCTAGTCAATGCTTCACTTTCTACTAATGCACTGAACATTTAACAGTGCACAACTTTGTGTCAGAAGAGCCATTGTACTTGTGGCCAACATATATAGGAACTCAGCACTGTCAGCTGTGGTTTACTGACGCCAAGCTCTATGGGTGGGAAAACCTCAACGCACCTGTATACTATTGTGTCTAAACACCATATTTCACACAGGTGGTTACACACACATCTTTTATAGGAGCAGGAAGGAAATAATACTCAGGGGAACTGTTGGAAGGTAGAGAACCCAAGTAGGAAAGTGTGGTGGAAACTCCTTTGCGTGCTAGTCTACTAGCCTCAAACTGAAAGAGCTGCTAGCAGGCCTCAGGTTTTTTTAAAGTATTTACCAGCTTGTGAAACTTGTTAGTCAAACCTGATTAATAACAAGCATTACTACAGTCTGTTTTGTTTACAACCCCCTAATTAATTTTCCAAGCCAAATTTAATTATATGCAGTCAGATTAGGCCCAGGAGACAGTCTACGTCTGGACTTACACTAGTGTAATCATGCACACACACACACAGGTCAACCAGCAGGGCACTGAGACAGACAGCTCACATATTTGACTTGACTGGCCTCAGCCATTTATTTTGGTGTGGTGCTCTGACAGGCACAGAGTCAAGCACTGGTAGATGAGTAGCAAAGACAAATGTGCGAACATGATGACACACATGAATGCATGTGCTCATATGCAAGACCACACACACTTGTGTGAATGTATACACATAAACAGATGAATGCGAAGGGACAAAAAGGTCTGAAATGTGTTTGTATATGTGCACTTTCTCACACACACTAAAACAGAGAATGCACGACTATCTCATCTTCTCCCCACTCATATAATCAGTGAACAGATGGAGCTCCAGCCCTGAAGGGGTTTTGTTTCCCTAAAACATTCGTTGCTGCTACTATTTGTTGTGGTTCATCCCTTTACAATCAAACACCTTCACTTCTAGTCAATGCTTCACTTTCTACTAATGCACTGAACATTTAACAGTGCACAACTTTGTTTCAGAAGAGCCATTGTACTTGTGGCCAACATATATAGGAACTCAGCACTGTCAGCTGTGGTTTACTGACGCCAAGCTCTATGGGTGGGAAAACCTCAACGCACCTGTATACTATTGTGTCTAAACACCATATTTCACACAGGTGGTTACACACACATCTTTTATAGGAGCAGGAAGGAAATAATACTCAGGGGAACTGTTGGAAGGTAGAGAACCCAAGTAGGAAAGTGTGGTGGAAACTCCTTTGCGTGCTAGTCTACTAGCCTCAAACTGAAAGAGCTGCTAGCAGGCCTCAGGTTTTTTTAAAGTATTTACCAGCTTGTGAAACTTGTTAGTCAAACCTGATTAATAACAAGCATTACTACAGTCTGTTTTGTTTACAACCCCCTAATTAATTTTCCAAGCCAAATTTAATTATATGCAGTCACTGGATTTTATAATATGTGACCATTCACTTCATTGCCCTCCTTTGTTTGGTCATTTAGGGAATTCATTAGGCCAACAATAGGTTTAAAGTATTGCAGGCTGTGCTCATGACAAACCTGTATTGTGCATTTCTTGTTAATGGTATGAGCCTGCCCCCTACTGACACAAATTATTATTTGGAGAATGGAGGATTAAGTACACTTTAAATGACAGCAATAGAACTCAACATTCTTAACTTGAGCCAAGACGTTACTTTGAGAAGTTAATGTTAAACTAGTAGGCGTCCTTACTCAGGCTGGTAGACAGGCAGCCAGTAGACGAGCGTCCCGCCCATGACCAGGTGCTGGGCAGAGAAGTTCAGTAGGTCTGTGAAGATGTCACTCAGGTGGTATACCTGCGATACAGGGACATGAGACTCTACATAGCTGGGCAGAGGAATGAAAGAAATATGACCAGAGTTAGAAAAGAACAATCTCATTTTCCCAAGTGTTGCATTTGTGCAACTGGATAAAGTTCATGTTTTTGTCTTGTTTGATTTAAACATCTAAAAGTTATGCTAGGGTCTTATTTCCTCTATAGTAAATGCTAGGCTTACTGTAGCTGTATTGTTAGCTAATTCACTGTAGAGACATGCATCTAGATACTAATACTGTAAGACAGTAGGGCTGGTAAAATAACAGGTGAACTTACATGCCCTCGGGGGGTTTAGTAATGTCTTTGTGGGAGCCTGTTCGTCTTGTGGACTCACGGATACCATACGGAGCTGACAATAAAAAGACCACATAGAAAAAGCAATTAGGAGATGAACTACACAGACGTAGCGGGACCTCATGCCGGCGCGGGACTGCACAGTAAAGTGTTGCAGCATTAATGAGGGTTAAAAGCAGGGCCTGAGTGTGTCTACAAATGTAATATGTCAGAGTTCTCAGTTAGCAGTACAGTGGTTCATGTCTATGAAACAACACATGGTTCCTAATTTGTCTAAAACATTTTTTTTAGAGTCCACCTAATATAGTAACCAGAAGGAATCAGACCACAGACACTCAGCAGGCTGAAAGTGTCATTAGTGGTCTGTTTAGAATCAATTTGCGACCTACGGTCAGTAATGATGGCATCAAACAGAGCAGCATTTCTCCACACAGGCTTGGACGCATCAGACACCATTACATCTAAATACATCTTCTCTGTTCCATACTGTCGCAGATTGGCTCTGATGTTCTCATCAGGTCCTCGCCACTTCTGGTTTCTACGGCTCGACCGACCTGAAAAGCCAAGACACTTTCAAAAAATGTGGATACTAATAAAGTGACCTGTAAGCTTGGGTTAGGCAAAACTTACCTTTGCCATGAATAGTGTTATAATCAATATCTGTTCCACAGACATAGGCTCCAAAATGAGAACATGCTACTAACAGGCTCCCTAAAACAGATCAAGAGAAGGCAATTACTGACGCACATTTCTCAAAACATGTGTGTATCTCTGGGTATGTATGCGTGTGACAGGCAGTGAGAGGTTTAACTCACCTGTACCAACAAATGGGTCAAAAACAAGATCGTTCTCTTTGACCTTAGCGTGGTTGGCCATTATGAGTGAGAGGCCAGCATCCATGCTGGTGTTTCCTATGAAGTGTCTGTTCTTCACACTGTGAGAGCGAATCAGTTCACGCTGACCGTCCGCTATCTGGAGCAGGAGTAAGGATGAAAAGTGTTCAGCTGCTGACAGAGTATTTACAAATGGAACACATTTCTAAGCATACGAATGCATGGGAATGGTTTTTGAGTTTCCACTGGCACTTTGATAATTTTCTGCCATAAACACTTGTCAACACTGGAATTCACTGCAACTTATTTTAAGCTCCTGGTGTAATTTAAGATGAGCACAATCATCTGCAACTCTTTTAACAGCCACCTTTGAATTCAACTGTTTAATACTCAAGATAGTTTCTGGGTGGAAATATTCGTTTTAATCCTGGGAACCGTCTCTTAATGTGTATGTCACCACTCATCACCACGATACTGTATTTCAACACACATTATAGTCAAATATAAAGTTTAGAGTATCTCACCCATCTACCAAAGTAGATGTGGATTGGATGCTCAGGGATGCTGTTGGGGTCTGTGCCATAATCTTCCAACAAACAGAAGATATGCTGAGGGCTCTTCAGACTCACTGTGCCCTCAAATGGAAGATAATCCAAAGCCTGGTATAAGAATATATACAACATGATATTCTGAACATACACACAGGTTCTCATATATATATATATATATATACACACACACACATACATGCACAGTATGTAGCCAGTTACACAAATTTTGTTCTTCAGGTCCGATGCTTCAATGTAAAATTAAACATGGCTACTACATTAAATTGCTAAGTCTCTGCTTTAATACAGATGTAGCCCTTTTAACACAGTGTCTGAATTGCAAGAGTTTGAAAGCAACAGGACACTTGTCTACTACATGTTTCCTTGGCAGCTGTGTTGTTTCTATGTTAGTTCATACACAAAAGAGCTCACGCATGGCTCAGAGATCATTGAGACTTGAGAGATGCCATTTAGATTGATGTCGACACATCTGTGAATAAAATTTGGGTACTTCATAAAAAAACAGAGGTGCACAGGAAATATAGGAACTATGTGTTAAAAGGTCTGTATTGCTATGGTTATTTCTAATTGGCATAAACAGAATTAAATTAAAAGCTGAGACTTGGCAGCCATGTGCTAATGAAGTATCCACTATTTTATTTCAAAGCACAGAGCCTCTAGGGCAAAAATCGTACCACTGTCTAAATACTTACAGCCTGGACTGTACATGACCAATTTCATTTATTCATTTCCAAATATACACACAGATAAAAATTCTCACATCAATCCTTTTTAATCTGTCTGTAAACTCCAGAGTCTTGTTGAAAGTATAGACGTTGATTCTATATGTGGAGTCTTTCTGCATGAATGGACTCTGTAAAGGAAGAGCACAATCACTAGTTAAACATAATAGCTTACACTGGATATCCTTCATATAAAATGTTTCCTAAAACTTCAGAGATTTGTCACAATAACACAATAAGAACATAAGCCATAGCATCGCCAACCATGTTCTCTAATGGGTAGTTCAAGAGGGATGTTCTGAGTTCACTGTGTGTTTGTCCATGGCCCCATAACTCAAAAGCAGACCTGGAGGAATGAAGCAACTGAAATTACATCTACATTATGGCCACTTTAGTCACAAAAACTGCTAATGTAACAGGGCGACAGCTTAAGATGGATGAACCTGTTATGTTCA